AAATGACTTAATATTTTTAACTATAAATATATATTTTAGAATTTTTTAATGCTTTCAAAAATTTTTTAACTACTTATCCAGATTTGCATATATAATAACAAACATATGTCGCATATTTTATATAAAAAAAAAAGATAAAACAAAGTGTATGTATAGTACAATAACATTCTGATAATCTTGGCAATTATATTAGAGAAAACAAATTACTGTTCCATACTGGTGTATTGTATACAATTAATTGATTAGCCAAGGTAATTGAAAACTTGGATTACAAATACCGATATATGAAGAATAATTCGAGCACTTTTCTTATCAATGCACGTGGATGTAATGAAGGAAACGTTGTTTCAGAAGTGGCATCCGGGCCTGGCCAAAGCTGCACAGAGATGGGCCAATCAATGTCGTGGACTGGTCCACGACAATGCAACCGGCCGACATTTGGATGGTTTCGGTCCGAGTGGACAGAACATTTTCATTACAACGAAAAGGACTCTCTGGTAGGTGGTCTGTGAATTTATTTCTATTGCAGTATTCTTTCATCTTGAAGCAGGAAATTTGAAAGTCTTACTTTTACTCTATTTCGTACGGAATTTATTTCGTTTAATTCTGCAGTGTCTCTGTAATAATTCCTAGTGTCTCTGTAATAATTCTACAGTGTCTCTAGAATTTAGGAATCGCAGTGTAACTAAATTTATCGACACAAGTCACGAACTCGATTTTCGATTGACTAGAGAAGTTCATTTCCAAAATTTGCTTCGAATATTTTCCAATCTATGAAGAAATGTTAATTGAACGTTATAATTATAAGATGTAAAATAGAAATGGGTGTAATTTTCAACCGAAACTGCGTAATCATGTGCATTATGGCCAGTCAAATGAAAATCAGCTTAATTTAATATTCCACGTTGGACGATAAGAGCAAAGGACCGGATCAAATTCAGGAAAATATTACAAGCATCGAGTTACTTTATAGAATTTCAAGATAACTAAGTTTCCCCGGAGAAGAGATACTATGGCGTCTTGCGCCTTTGAATTTATTCCACGGTTCGTTTGAAGACGGGTAAAACCGTTCAGTAGAAAAGCCTGTTATTGTTCAGCCACGAAAGTCAGGTTCGATTCAGAAGTAAAGTGCATCAGAAAGTAGCTGCATCGTTTAACCAACACCTATGTATTCGTTTCAGCGAATCAGATACAGTCGAACATTAATAATTTGTTCATTTTTTTATGTTCAATTGTGACGTAATAGAAACTTGACAAAATGTTCAATTTGAAAATCAAAAAATCTGTATTTTGCGTTTCATACTTTCTCGTTGACATTCTTTCTTTTCCATTTTTCATTAGGGCATGACAGATGCATAACAAACGTTTGCGCTTTAAATTTCGAACTCGAAGTTGACATTCTACATCGAACAGTTTCCATTTCAAATTACAATCTCGTGGATATTAAATTTTCCCAAATATCGAAAGATTCGAATAGTAATGACAAATTTTGAAAAATTTCGCTGAATTCCGTATTTCACACTTGATCAGTCACAGTTCTTTTTTTCCCACCGTTCATCAGAGCACGAAAGGTGCAAAATAAATGTTCACCTTTCAAAGTCTCGAATTCTACATCCAACATTTTCCCTTCTACATTTCAATTGCACTAATATTAATTTTTCCCAAATATCGAAGAATTCGAACAGTATAACAGGCAAACTTTGAAAAGTTTTGAAAATAAAAAGTCTGAATTCCGTAATTTCACACTTTCTCATTTACAGTCCTCTTTCTTCCCACCTTTCGGTGCAAAATAAACCTTTTTCTTTTTCTTTGTTACGCGGGGGAAATCTTCCAAAGACACCCCGCCGCCCCCCGGGGGGAGGGAGGCGGGTTAGTGTGGGATTCTTACCCACTAAAACCCCCGCGGTGGTCCTCGTCGGACGCGCTGGGGAGAGCCGCGGGAACTTTGTATGACGTCCGCAGCTCTCCCCACGCCTTGGGTGCAAAATAAACCTCAACCCTTCTAAATTTCAATTTCACTAGTATTAAATTTTCCCAAATATGCGAGATTTCCCAAACTTGGAAAAATCATCAATTTCTAAATAAAAAATCTGAATTCCATATTTCACACTTTCTCATTCATAATTCTATTTTCTCACCTTTTAACAGGGCACGAATGGTGCAAAATACACCTTAACCTTCGAAATTTCGAATTCTCCGTCGCCCAAATTTCCCCCAAATTTCAATCTTGTTAAAGTATTCGAAGTGCCCGCGTGTGGAGACCCACCGAGCGTCAACTGTTTTTCCCCGAGAGCACGCGTGCTGGTGCCGTTCCGGTCTCGTCCACTCGTGTACGGGCGTAGCATTACGCCACGTGTAAAATATATTGTGTTGTGTTTTTATATCTCTCCTTGATTTCTTTCTGTTCCACCACCTCACATAATTAACAACCCAACAAATCTCGCCGGTACTAAACGTCCCGAAATATCGATGCGTCTCGGACAAATTGCATAAAGTGGGCCACCGTTTTTCGTCCATTCAATTCGTACACATTTCGCAAGCGTCGTCCCGTCGTGAAAACTCCAACGGGTTAAAATCCTTCAATATTCAAATTCACGTCGTAGGATCCCCTTTCAAGGGGTGCACGTACAATGTATTCGTTCCCCGAAGCGAAGACCTCCCTCTCGCTGAAGGGGGATGATTGTTTCGCGGTGCTCGAGCGACCGCAGAATTCTGGCGTGCGCAAGAGGCACAGAATTTCGAGCACCGAGCACGTTGCGGAACACCGAGAGAAATGGAGCCTTACCTCCGTGGAATTGGCACGTCGATGCGTTTCAATTAATTCAATCGCCAGCCTTTTCGCCGATGTTATCGTTCGCTCGGAGGAATTTCTTGCAGACGATCCTCTTTATCGGAATTTAATATCGGATACTCGTTATTAGAGGAGGTTCTTGTTGTTTATCGAATATTACACAATATTATTACTTGTTGATATAGATATAGTGATACTTATTGATTCGTTCAGAGGAGCTTTAGAACGAGTATTTTTCTTTTGAGAAGAATTTTGTCCAAGTGCACCATTGGATTTACTCGAGTATGCTGAGAATTGGAGGTTTTAAGTAGTACAGATCGTTATATGCCAGACTTGTAAGTTTCTGTCTCTATTTACCAGTCAAATGTTTGGAATCATCTGTTCATTTTTGTCAATATTAAATCTTTACAGATTAGACAAATTAATGTTGTGGAGATTAATAGCAATTTACCTCGTATCGATTGATTCGAATGTTGAAGAATTCTTAAAGTTGCTAAATTTTCTTTGGAAATTTTTGCACGGAAAGGAAAACATTTTTGTCGGTCGGTGTATAGCTAACTCTGTTTAAAATGTGCAAAGAGTATTTCGCTGTGCATAAATCTACTTCGTTCGCGTTAGCAGAATAGAAAACTGGTTCTCCGTCGCTGAGGGAATTAAGTAACCAGTAATTGAACATAGTAAACAAGTACCGGTTCGTTTAACCAATGAGAACAGTGTAATGTAACGCAGTGCAAACCGCAGAATTAATTCAAACAGGCTGAAAGTAAGTGACTTTTCTTTGGAAAGAGCCATTAACGTCTCGAGCTTCTGAATTTATTCCACAATTCGTTTAAACGTGACAAAGGGCAGAAAGTTTCAGTAGAAGATCAGGCGAGTTAGAATTTGTCGTGAAGTATTCTTATCTTCGAGCGGAAAATTGCACTTATCCGTTTTTGAAAAGAAAATTCATAAATAATTAAATATAACGAAATTATGAAATCTTTCATTTAAAAATCAGTTTTCAAAAATATGTCAAATTGTGACAAATGGTGGTTTTAAATGTTTCTCCATTTTTATTAAATAGAAATTACTTGTTTTAGTGTAAATTGAGGTCTCCGTTTGGGCTGCATTTTAGTGGATACTTTGTGAAACTTTGTTTAATCTTTCCGAACAGCTGTTCTGGATTATTAGGACACCTGTTGAATGCGAACTAAATGTAAACAGTCGTTACAAGATTATTAAGATCGAAAGAAACAAATTATTTAGATTAGGAGCATATATATTTTTACTGATATATCATCACTGCTAGATAATTCATACTCCTTTCATAATGTCTAAAAAAAAGCAATAATTAAATTTTCTTTTCTTATTTCGTTGCACCTCTTTTCCTAATTTTCGGAAATCGACATTTTCTGGATATTATTGCAACTATGGTATGCTAAAAGTAGACAACTCCAGCAGTACTTGGAAACATTAGAAGTGAAGATATTAAAATAAAGGAATATTAAAAGTGGAAAATATTAAAATATAGGAATATTGAAAATGGTAATATTAAAGTTTAAAAATATTACAAGTGGCAATATTAAATCTGAAAATATTAAAAGTGGAAATATTAAAATATTAAAATTGCAGATATTAAAATATAGAAACATTAAAAAATTTAAAGGAAGCTGTAAAAACTCCATGTTCAATGCTAAAACTCGGTAATGAATTGTTTAATACGTGTACCAGCAGTACTAAGATGACAATAAGATACTAACTTTGACGAATACAAATTAATATCACACAACACTTTCTGTACGAACGTAATAAGTATCCTAACTAAATCGTACAATAAGCGTAGACTATTGTTTATTTCGCGAATTTTCAAGGCGAGCAGCTCTTTCTCAACAGGAATTACCTCTTGAATCTACAAGCCGATTAACAGAAGGGAAGACGCCGGTGGGTTTTCAGTGGAAAAGTCCGTTACTGTTCAGACACGAAAGTTGCGAGTTCGATTCGAAGTTACGATTCGCCGGCATTGTTCTATTCCTGCCTAACCATAACTTGCTTTCGTGCTTGTCGGGCTCCTTAGAGAGCCACCTGTTGGCATTCGGTGAACAATTGGCACCGATGTCACTTCCACGTCTTCCTTTGGCGTCAGCAATTCCAATGGAGAACCCGTTGAAACGAGTCTATCGTGTTTTTAATTGATTCGATCCGCTTCCTTCGGAATGAAAAGCCTTTCGAACGTTTCGCCGTGCCTCTTTCGATCCGAGTCGCGGCAAAGAAAAAGTGTTTTCCACGGGTTTTCACAGCGAACAATGGCGCAGACGGTGAAAAGGGAATGTTCTAATCGAAATTTATGGGATAACTGGGCTAGAGAAGTTTGATATTTTAACGGAAGTGTAATTGGGGTGTTATTTTTTCGGAATTTTTATTGTAGAATTAAGAAGGAGAGCGATTAATTTTCTCGTTTCTTTTTTGTACTTTTTCGAGGTTAGAGAAAGTTTCTTATTACTTAAATTAATGTGATGAAAATTATGGTAGTATTAAAGAAACAGTTTGTCAAAGTTGAAAAGGTTCCTGTTCCTTGAATAATTAAGTTGGAATTTTGGAAAAATATAGATAGCAGAAGTTATTTCAATTATCATTATCAATTTGTCAAGAAATTTTAATGGTATATCACTTTTAACATCTTTGAGATACCTTACTTTCAGGAATTCTCTTTCATACTTTCTCAAGGTTTCCCATTTTTCACGTAACTTTGTAAAAATTATGGTAGTACATTCAAAGTTAGAAAGGTTCCTATTTTCCAAGATAATTAAATTAAAAATTGGAAGAGATACATAGATATCGGGAATTATTTTTCTTTCCTTTTTACCATTCTAATTCGTGAAAAAATTTTAGCAATACACCTAATATCTAATTTACATCACTTGTGATACTTTACTTTCAGGAACTTCCCCATCAGAATGTGGTTCATGGAGTACAAGGATTACAAGTACGGAGAAGACGAAGGGAACGACTTGCACGAGATCGGTCATTACACTCAAATCGCGTGGGCCACGACACATATGGTCGGTTGTGGCGTGCACCATTGCAACGGTAGCAGAGGTCCTCTGAACGGGGACTTTTTCATGTACGTGTGCAACTATGCCCCAAGGTGAGTAAACTGAAAGAAGTACGAAGCAACTTGTATTGGATGATTGCAAAAGTTCGTGCCCGATTTTCAGAGGTGGCGAGAACCTTACATTCCTATCGTGATGTTGCATTCCTATCGAAAGATACTACACCGCTGGTGTTTTATTTTTAAGTAATTATTCATTTCGTTCCACTTCAGTTTCAAATGAAATCTGCTTTTGCACACACCGATTGTGGTTTATTTTCAAATCGAGCGCGAACTTTTGCAGTCATCCAATAGAATAACAGGTGTTCTGACAAAACTGCAGAGTGTCGAATATGTAACAGCAGTGAGGCGACAGAAATTTAGGGAATAGAAATTTATCGTTGGTGAACAGTTCCGAATAATGTTTGAACTGATTTTTCAAATCCTTCCAATTATTCATATTTGCAATTGTGCCAATAAAAAAAAGGTGGGCTATATTCGTCGGTACATCTACCACGTTCTGTCGATTGTTGGACACTAACGCGACAGAGCAACGGTTACTGCGCGAAATCACAAGTAACGAGGGGAATTATCGCGTTCGGGTAGTCGCACCTGGTTCCCGCGGGCAGGAATTTATGCGAGCGGCTCATTGTAATCGAAAAGTTTGCCCGCGCGTATCGCGAGGAGGCGGCGGCGGAAGGCCACGGGCATAATCCGGAAAATTGCGGTCGAGGAACGGATTTATGACTGTGCTCGACGCGCGTAATTTAAATTCTCTTGGCTCGTCCTTTTCTCTCCCCTCCTCGGTTTCTCGTCCGCGCTGGTGGACGACGAGCGAGGAGATATTACCGGCGGCGCGCGTGCACACGCGTGTTAAGGCGACGTGAAAGGATAAGTAACGAAGGGAATCGTGGAAACGAAATTACGAAGACGTTGAGAGGGAGTAGAGGCGAGGGAAAAAATCGAAGCATCCGGGGGATGTTTGCGGAGTGGAAGAATAGAGAGACGGACAGGGTTGAATGATTTAGGAATTCGAGGAGAGAATGTGCTTTCGAATTGTGCTGTAATCTAGTCGAGGCTAACGATTTTTTGAAAATTGAGAAGAGAAAAGATGTTTGGGAAGTGAAAAATTAACGTTGTATACATCGTTCAAAATAAGAGTAACCTCGCTCTCGGGCCGATTCTCGTCCGTTCTGTGCACAGACAGAGAGCGTAGCAGATGGTAAAGAAAAACGTAGGCGGTTAAGCGGGGGTTTGGACGTTCTAGTGGTTCTAGCTCTGCCTCAGGCGCGAAACGAGGTTACTCTTATTTTGAACGATGCATAGACACTTTTCGTACAAATCAGGCCATGCCACACTATCTGTGTCTACACTGACTTTGTGGTCCTAGCTTGAAACCTGCGTTGGTATAGATAAAAATAATTTGATAAATTTAATTTGACGGAATTAGTCACTTTGAAAAAGAAAATTCGGTCACGAAAGGGTTAAGGCTTATTACATCCATATATCCAATTCTTCAAGCTTACTATAATCGATTCATTCTCATTCTATTAGCATCCAAATTTAAAACAGTTACACAGTAGTTACGTTAATTTTCAGCTATTTCTTATTAGAACCTGCGTACGATTATTGAATCGCACTCTTATTAAGCCATTTCACGATTAGCAGTCGATCGTTGGTCGTATCGTTTGTTCCATATATTTCTTTTTTCTTTTACGTGGGGAAATCCTCATGAACGCCCCGCCCCCCAGGGGAGGGGGCGGGGTAGTGCCGGATTCTTACCGGCTAAAACCTCACGGTGGCCATCCTCGGCAGTCCGGGGGTGGGCCCGGGATCTCTTACGAACGCAACCAGACCCACCCCACGCCGGGCCCCTCCCTCGAGATGCTCATCCCGGAGGGGGTCAAATGGATCCCCTCTCAACTCCGAGGCGCCGGCGACGCCCCCACCGCGGGCCGCGTGCAATGGGCTGCCGGGTCCCCCCTCGACAGCCCTGCGGCTCTGACCGCCGCGCAAAGACCCCGGGAGTGTCCCGTCCCCCGTCAAGGAGGCGGGGCCCGCCACGCGGGCGGCCACCAAACCGGAGCCCGGCGGGAGGAGCAGTGCCTCCTCCCCTGGGCCCGTGCACTCGGGTTCCTCGGGGTCGTGAACTCCCGTACCGCGACCGATAGAAAAAGTCAGTCGCGGCCCCTGAGGTCAGTTTGATCCATACATAATAACATCACGGAACCCATTTGAATGCGGAACAATATCGCGGAAACTGTTCAAAGATAAGAATACAACGTATTCCCGTTGCGATTCTCGTTTTACCTCGCGCAATAAATCTGAAAGAAGCTACTCAGCTATCTCAGATAAATTAACTTAAAAGAGAGAAAAGGGATTATCGCTGGCGAATTAGAAATTCAACTAAGGGAAAAGTGGAAGTGGAACAAGTGGAGCGAGAGAGAAAAAGAATTGAAACGAGACTGGGAGAAAATAAAGACCGGTCGCGGGGAAAAGTTAAGGAAAAAGAGAAATTGTGCCTTGACACAGAAAGAATCTTCGTGTAACGAACAATAGAGAGGAAATACGAGAAGAAGGAAAAATAGAAAGTCGCACAAAGGAGCAGGGAGAAACAACAGGGAATTAAAAGGACAATACGATTGAAAATTCGCGTAGAAAAATAAGAAAAAAAGAAATGAACGATAGAAAGGAGAATGGAGTAATTTGAATAAAGGGGGAAAGTGTCGGGTTGTTACAAAGCGAGGGAAAAAGTTGAGAAAGATCGGCTGTGAAGGTGACAGATGAGCAGAGAATTAATAAACGAAGAAATGAGAGTGTATTAAAATTGACGATTTTTTTCATAAAATAGGGATATTCGAGGTTGAAGAAGAGGGGGAGAAGTTTAGAATGGAATAAAAAAATCGCAGATAAGAGCCGGTACAGTGGAGTAAGGGCGAGGAAGCAGATATCTGCGAAGGAAACAGGAAGTGAAGGAGAAAAAAAGAGGGGTTGAATGTCGATAATGCAGCGGAGCGAGACGCTTGGAATCTCAGGTAGAGTACAATGCATTCTTTGAACGGATTCGATGCCGGTAGACTCGAAAAAGTGCCTATCTTTAGCTAATCTGATTTTCGAAGAGCGTGTAAATTCGCTGCAGTTTACTTGGAATGGCGGAGGGTTGAAGATTTTATATATTAGGTCTATGCAAATGTTTCCATCGTTTGTAAAAATCAGTGGCACTAAAAGTATGTTTCTTTTCTTATTGAAACTTTTATAGTGGGTATTTGTAACAATATTACAGTTAATTCAATGTATTGAATGTAGCATTAATACTGTATTTTTATTAATTTGATAACACTAATTAGAAATACTCTTCTATAGTAAATTACAGAGTTAGAGTATTAATATTATATTATTATTATTTTCTATATTATGTTACATAGTTACGGTATTAATACTATATCGCTATTTTTTTGACAACGACTAATAAAAAATAAATACACCTTCTCCAATAAATATTTTTGCTAATATTTACTACTGTAATGCTTTCGCTAAAATTTTTAACTCTACTGCGATGTCATGCCACCCAAGAATTATGTAAATGTTGTATAATATCGAACTGTTTTACGTCGCAACATTTTCTCAGAATTTTTAAAGCGCGATCGGTGGAGTATACCTGGAATCGACGTTGATGCATCGCGAGACTTAAGCTTACAGTTTGGAGAAGTTTGTCTCTGGAGAGGTAAAGAAACGAAGGGGCGAAATTTTTGCATGATTTATGTTCGTTTGACGAGTTTTTCAGGATGATACTGTAGGAAGGGAAATTCTTTCTCGAGATTTCACATGTATTTAAATATACATTAAGAATGTAGATCAAGGCAGATTTTTAATTAGACGAGTGTAAATTTTTTAAAAAATTGAAAAAGAAATACTCTTTAAAATACAAATTTCTTCTTGACCTGTCCCAATATTATCTGATAACAATTTACTCGATTTATTCTCACTCACAGTCGGTTACCTCCCAAAACCAAATTAGCCACGAAAGATCCATTCCTAACATTGCACTTACTCCACAACTACCCCGCAAATTCGTCTAAATGCAAATAAAACGGAAAAAAATTCGACGTATTCTAAGTTCGCAGCGTTATACTCTCAGATATATCTCGCGAGATTCGTGCAATAGCCGTCTGTCTTGCGACACGAGCCCCCATTCTTTTGGCGTTTCTCCGCTCGTGCTCGTGGAGTTATCGTGTCCCGTAGTTCGGGGCGAACAATCCGTGGCCTTGCCTGTTCCATAGGATATCGCGCGTAGAGATTCATTTGCATTGTCATAATCTCGACGGGCTTGTATCTCGCCGGTGAATCGCCTCGTCGCGTGTAATTCGACTTAAACGCGACGCTTTCTCGGCCGTGTTTGCAAACAATACGTCGTTGGCTATGCGCATCGGTTACGAGTCCCTTGCGCGCGGCCAAATTTATTTGCCGGCGAATTCTCCTTGGAGCTTTGGTTCGTTTCATTGGCAGAAATCGGAGTACGTGGGATCGTCGAGGTGCTGGGAAAAGGGCCAGAGTTATGCTAGAGCCCTAGCAACCCTAATGCCTAATAACAAAAATTAGTTCAATAAGACAGTATGGATCTCGTAATTTTGTGATTTTTATTTTGCAAAAAACTAAATTAAACTATAGAAAATTAAAAATATTAATTACATTACTCGCTATTTATTAAATATGTGGGTGAATAACACGTGATAATAGGTTTAATAGCAATATATTTTGTAACAATAATTACACAATAACCATAAAGACACGTAAAAAGGAATAATGATAAGCTGATCAATGGCCTCTTATTATTTCTCGCAAATAACCTCACGCACTCTTTCATATCTCACTCACTGTTTCACTCTATGACCCGCTCGTTTCCCCAATCTCGAGACGATTCGAGTATCACCCATATATCATTTCTGTCCTAGATCCTTCGCATAAATTCAAAAACAAACACACGACATTCACGCCATCACTCGCAACATATTATTAAAACCAAGTCCACAAAATATGCCGTTAGAAAACATTGCGAA